AGGGCCACTACAGAAGCGACAACGGGTCCTGCAGAGAATTACGGCGAGCCGGCGCAGCGTTTGTAGGCACGCTGAATTCGATTTACTAACCGCGTGCTTGCATGCTGTCTCTTTATTTCAGGTGGTGGGTTTACAGTTTTTACCTTAATGCTTTTCTTTCTCATATAAATATCTCCCTGTACTCTATTTCATTAACTTGCACACATCGCCTAAGCCAATTGTATTCGATTTCCATAACATTTTTGCCTTCGTGGCATTCCGTGAACTATACTTCCTGACCTCGTGCACTTAGCTAGAATTTGTTTGTAATCAACTTATTACATATGTTCATTAAATTAAGGTTTATATCACCGTTTCCTTATGCATTAATCGAGTTTTTCTCTTTTTCTTTCCCTCTTGCAAATGTTTGGCTGTTGTTTGATACCCCCGGTGTGGATGCGCTTGATGTGCATGTTGACAAGTTGCCTACTTGTCTATTACCCACTACCTCGTCCATACTGGCTCCAGGAGACAGCTGGTCGTTGCTGGAGGGGACAGGGTGCACGGTCCTTGTGGCCGTGTTAGGATCAAAGAGTGGTTCCATGCAGTCAGTGTGGAGCGGACTACGGTCCAGCTACCGCCTTGTGTGCACTTGATTCCCCAAATACAGCGTGCTTGTGTTTGCCTGTGAAGGAGTGTGGGCCGTCTCCGTTGATGAAACGTGGTTCCCATCCGCATGCCTCCCGGTCTTATTCCTTCGGGTTTACACTGGATATGGGGTGTGTGGTTGGAGCTGTGGGTGGTGCAGCGCAAGCCATCCATGGTCCCTCTGTAGGCGCAGGCGTCCTGTAGGGCTGGTCACAGTGACAGGCAAATCCGAAACCGGATGCTGCCAACCATTCCACAAAAGGAGGTAAATTTGGTTGAGCATTTCAATGATTACCCGGTCAGATTAACGAATATACGTCAGGAGACTAGTAGAGATTCTGTCCTAGTGCTGGTTAAACGCTGTGTTCAAGTCGGGTGGACAAATAACATCCAAAGCACTAGTGTATTTTCGTAATAGAATGGTCAAGCTCATTCACCAGAACGGATGTTTGCTGTGGGGCGCACGAGTTATAGTAGGCAAGAGATTTGGTCCCGAATCTTCAATGAGTTATAAGACGTGCACACAGGAATCGTCAAAATGAAGTCGCTAGCTCGCCTTTGTGTGGCGGCCCGAATTAAACGCTGAAATTGTGACGGGGATTAGAAGTTGTGGGCTGTCACGGAAACCGAAATGCCGCCCCAATGCGCTAATGTAGCCATGCAAGCCGGCAGAAACACTAGAAACGCATCCATGGCGATTTTTTTGGCCGTTTCAAAGGTCGGATGATTTCGTTAATCATTGATACCCATACTATGCAGGTTGAGGCCAAAGTTCTTGCCTCAGCAACTTCACCTAGCACCATAAGTAGACAGCACAAAACACTCACGACGTTTGGACTCGCCGAAGCATTAGTGTCTCAGATGGGTTAGCGAATGCCGTCGCTGAGTTTTCTACCTTTCTTAGTTCGAGCTGCGTTAGACATATAACTACTGCATCTTACCACCTCTTCCAACTGGCCGTGCGGATAGTGAAAACTGCTAAGGAAGAAAACTCATGCTCCATTGCGTGTGCGTTTGGATCGTTACGTTTTCGCATAACGAAATATGCCAAAGGAGACCACCGGCAGAAGCGCGACAGAGTTAATGATCGGTCGTTGCTTGCGTACATGGTTATATTTACTGAACGGGACCATTGAGTCACAAGTTTCCGAAGGTCAACAACGGGTGACAAGTGCAGCAAGGACAGGCTTGTGAAAGTCATACCCTTTTTATCTTCGGTCCGTGGTCTGAAGGTAACAAGCTTGTCTTGTAATCTGACGGCGCGGGTTCGAGTCTGCGTAGGGACAGGGCGACCTTTGCAGTATCCTTAGCCCACGTGCGACCGGTGGTGGTTGCGCGGCAGCAAAAAGTCGGTACTGCTTATCGACGTACTGCTGATGCTTTTTATGTCCATTTATCTACAGACTCGGAGTGGGAGCCAGGTGTCAGTAAAACAACTAACGGACAGATTACAGAAGCAGAAAATGAGGATGGCAAGATAGAGTTGCGAAATTTGGATCATTTGCGACCAAGATTGTCGATGCGAGAAACAAGTAGTGAGCTACAACCGTTATTCTGACTACCGGCTGATATGCAGAACACTGACGTCGAATCAGTAACTGAACTTTAATCGTGCCGCGCTAATCGTTAACGCTGATCAGTCGAGCGCTTCCGGGCCGGTTAGATCAAAGCAATAGAGGAAGGAACGACAGTCACTGATAATATTAAGTTCATCCATCCATCATTCATTCATTATACACGTTAGCTAGAGGTGGAAAACACCTGTTATTGTGCCCATCCACCGCTATCCAACCAGTGGGGCTGCTGATACTGTGAGTGCGTGCATGCTCCTGTATTAACCAAGCAATGTTCCCTATCGATTCGCTCCGAAATAGGAAGCGTTCGAGCGTTCATGTGACTCATGTGTTAGACAGTTTTACTTGCTTATATGTGCTGAGTTCGTTGCATGGTCTTTACGCTTGCTACTAACGCCTTCTATTACTACACCACTGTTATGGTTTCGCTACGGAGGAATAAGCCCTACTGGAGCAAGTTTGACGAATAGAATGGGCATTGAGGGTATGCGGGTGTTCTCCGAGCTGGCTGATTTGGCTGCAAACGTTTCATCGTCAGATTAGACGACATCATCAGTGCGATTTATGCGGGCCACTTGCAGATCCAAGAATGGGCATTTGAACGCAAGACCTTTTAGGTAGCTTAGTCATAACAGTACCTGAAACCAGAGTAAAGAGCACAATGCACACAAATCAAATGCTGAGTTTAGCTTCGCCTCCATCAGCTACAGTCGAACTCTGCCTTTTGACAAAAGCGCTGTGTTTATGAGGAACTGAAAAGACCGACGTCAAACAAGGCTAGTGGTCCAAATGTCGGCCGGTGACTGAGTGGTCTGCACGTTTGCTTTGCAACCATAAGATCGCCGGTTCGAATCCGCGTAGGGGTGGGCGTCCTCGTGGTATACTCAGCCCGCGTGCGACTGGTGGTGGTCGCGCTGGCAGCGAAGCGCCGTTACGGCGTACAGCTGACACATTATTATTGTTTATTATAGTGGTTCAAATGCTCTCCAATAGTGTTGACGCAATGTGCTTATTTGCTCATACTACCTTTAACATATGTCTTCAACAAATGCTTCACTTTGGATGTGATTCCAAACATTTGTAGACCTGCTAAAATAACTCTGATGCCCAAAAAATTATCACAAAGATATTACTCGATTGCATGTACATCTGTGCTGCTGAAAGTTTTCGAAAATTTGCTTATTTCGCAGAATTTCAACCAATCCTACTGAATATATCTTTTAGTACGCTTATAGACCAGAGTGATATATATTGGATGCAGTAGCATACATAGCTCATTCTACAGTGTTCATACTAGATCAGAGAAGTAAATCCGTACGGTTATTCATGTGGCTTCGGAAGCCTGGGCAGGTCAATGTTGCTCAATCTGCTAACCGAGAATGGAGTCTACCTGGGTGTGTATGCAGCCTGTCGCGCAACTATTTCAAGCATTGTACTCACTTCGACAATGTAAAGAGTAAGAAATCCCGTTCTGTATACCGACATGGAACGATCCTACCACCTTTTATTTTATTTTTGTATGTCGAAGGTCCCTCTATACAATTCACCTCCACTGGATGCTAATATGCTGACGATGTGCTGCGGTGTATGGCCACCAAGATCCAGACTTCCTCATAATTCGAAAGTGGACAGGAGATCGAGTAAAGTGGTTTGCGTTCAGCTCCATTACTTCGAATATTTATAAATACAAATATACAATATTCTTTTCGTGTGATAAATTGCGGTCTTCTATAGACATCTCCACAACTCTGTGAGCGACAGTCCAAGGCCCAGAGCAATCACCATCAAGTATCTCGGTAATTTTTCAACCCAAAATCTCTCTTGGTACACCTACGTTTGTGAAAATTTTCGTAAAGTTAGAAAGCAATTTTGTTACCAGACTCAAGGTGTTTCCAGTATCCGTAGTTTGAGATTGAGGTCGTACTGCTCCCGTCATCCTTTCTTGACCGCTTCAAAAAGGCTGCGCCTTATTGGTACGATCGATGAAGACTTTCAGAAATAACGATGTATCTAGATTCCCTAGATACCTGGTTATATCTAAGCACCTTGACACCTGCAATAAATTTCATACGAGGTCTTAAATGATCGATTGCATCCATGACACAGTGACCTTGAAGAAACGCTGTCCTTACTGCGCGAACCAAAATTATTTTCCCGCACTTAATCGTATCGTAATACTATCTATAGCCCTCTCAGTCATTTTTGCTTGCCGATCCAACGTATGTTGTAAAAATGCTACGCGAGTGGTGTTTTCACCGAAGCAATTGTGCAAATACTTCATTTTTCTCCTCGTTCCTGTATTTTTCATTGGTATCATCATTCCCTGCATCCACAGCTAAAAATGCACCGATTCCAGTCCGTAAACCTAATTTCGACTTGAACTGGATAGTAAGTACAGCAGAATAATGTGTTGAAGTGTTTCACTCAGTCTTAAACCAGCACGTGGACTTGCCAACTAAAGTTCTGCAATGTAACCCGAAATGATTCCAAGGGGCATCGCTCGATTAAAGACAAATTCCCAGACCAATAGGACGTAGAGGATGTAAGAGACAGTGAGATCTTTCTCGAGGTATGAAGCCAGTGAGTATAGAAAAGCAATCAAGCACTTAACAAAAGAAAAATCGATTCCAGACTTGGATAGTGTTTGTTGAATTGGAAAGTGGCAAAGGAACTTCGTACAACAGAAAATTGGAATAAACCTGTCAGATGTTCCCACTTGTTGCGATTCCGAAATATGCATTTACCTGCCCCACAAGACCTCTAGTTTAACCGAAGTAAAAATCAGAAATCAAATGACCATGACACAATAAAGAGGTAACCGCCGTCAAAAACGATGTAGTAGACCTTGCCCTTATTTATAGGCCACGTAGCGACCTTTAACTTTTCGAATAGGAAGGTCAGTTGGCAAAATTAATAGCGCCACGCCGATCCGGCCAATTTGCAAGAGGTTGGCAGCCAAGTACAAGACTGGGAACATCGCAGAAGGTTGGAAATCGATGCGATGATCAGTACCAATCGGTCCATCGTGGAAATAAGGTTGTTTTGGGTAAGTGTTCCTGTGTGATCTGTTAAGCAACAATGGGTAATGTTTCATCCGGAGATACTCAGACGGGGGGTCGCAAGGAGATGGTCCATGTCAATAGCACAAAGGGTGATTGGGACAGTATAAATACAGTGAAAGACGGCTTCCTGCTAATGCATATAGGGGTGGCATAAACAAGGTCAAGGGAATCGCAGCCGATGATACGAGGTTCATCTGTAGTCGTAGTTGCAAATGAGAGGTTTTGAGATAAGACAGCATAAATCCACCAAAGATCGTGAATGAAGAGTTGCATGCAGAAAATTCACTGCAACAGCGTGAAAACTGAAGTTCTATAGAGTGAAACTGAAAAAACCCCATTTGATTGCAAGAGCATGATGAAGCTGCGGGAAGTGACTGAGAGGGGAGCAAAATGGATAGCATATGCGATAGTGGGGCTGCTGTCTAGTATCTTCAAATCGAATGAAGAGGAACTATTGGAGGGATCCTGACAGATAAACTATTGAAAAAACGGAACTGATTACAGGTTGACTAACTAAACGCTGTGCAATCAACTCAAAACGCATGATATATAAGTGGTAAAAGTGAAAGCAAAGGGGATGAAAAAATAGGCAAAAAGGTGATGCCTGTTGATCCGTGACAATAAGTTGTTAAGCATGGGCGATGCATGATCTAATGTCCAACCAGCTAGCCTGACTTAGACCGGTGTTTATAGGATTCGCGATGGTGGTGACCACAAGAGATCAGAGGTAACAGACTACTGATGCTTAGTTACGAGAAGTCTGTGTCCGAAGGGGCAGGGGTTGCTTCGCATTGGATAAGTTGTTCAATAAACGATCATTATAGACCAGGCCACAGTGTTGGAGACAGATAGCTTTGAAGTATAACGCGCCGAACTCAATAGAGATGTAAGTGAGTGATGGTCGGACATCTACATGGTAGCTCAAAGGTAGGGTACATAGCGAAAGCGGTGTATTGAGTTGCGACTGTGTATTACACTATTTTGAATAGATCCAAAGAAAATTCGAAAAAAAGCATCAATAGGGGACAGTGCGCCATGGAATCCGGCAAGTGGGATCGGTGATTAAATGCAATGCAGAAAGAATCAAATTGAGTGGCAAGATGGGAGAAAAATGCGCACAAGGAATGAAAACCGGCTTAAAAACGAACAGACTATGATTTACCTGCACATCAGCTTCCAATAGGTCCATCAGCTTGACCTTCGCATCATTGCCAATATAAAGCTTGGAGACATCGTTGAGAAAATCGTTATCCTTTAGTGTCGGAAGGGGTTTTGACTGGAAAGAGTGAGAGGACATAACAGAACAGCTACAATGAAGTTCACTTAGGCAGAAATAAACTGAATGACACGGACCCGATGTTGTAAAACGATCACCATAATATCTAGTATGGCCAAAAGATCGAATTGAGAATAAAAACACTAGGTAAGAAACGCGATGTGAGCAGATTACCGGTAGGTCTGGAAAGAATGTGGGCCGAAACGTCACAGTGGAAGAGAATTAGTAGGCAGACGCTTGAAAGTTGCAAGCACCAAGTAAGCGGAGAAGAGAAGTAGGGAATTGAGAAAGTGCGCGCAATGCGGAAAACTAGAAGTGAAATGGCATCAACAGTATGCGGGAACGCAGTACCGACTCTTCGCTGCTGCGCAACCACCGCTAGTCTCACGTGGGCTAAGGATACTGCGAGGGTTGCAAGGTCCCTACGCAGGCTCGAACCCTCGCCGTCGGATTACAAGGCAGGCTAGTGATTCTTAAGACAAATGGGGTTGGCCTGGAAGTGAAATGAATCAGCGTAAACCACTTGTCAGCCAACGTCACCCTGGTTCAAATCCCGTTATAATCGGAAACAAATTTGGAAACGAGAATAGTTGTTAATCCATCAATGCGCTTCCCTGCACCACCTGACCAGATCACCGAGCAAAAAGATCAAACCGAGGTAAACTGATGATAAGGATGTTACTAACGCAGCCTAGATTATGCACGTGGTGGATCACTCAGCGAACTACCGGTTTGTTAGCAAGCGATAAGTAAAGGAACCGTAGCCTTGGTGGTCTGATGCCGCGACATTTGCAATGAATGCTAAGCAGGCAATGCCTTCAGTGTGATCTAGCCAATCTCGATAAAAACAGACACACCAATCTTATGTATGCGTCTGACAATCATTGCCCCATCGATTACAAAGCGTTTTGGAATGGAACACAAGAGTTCTCGGTTTAAACATTTATCCCCTAGATAAAACTGTCGTCATCAGTGAGTGCGCTGATTATCTAGCGTAGCATTTCGCCGAATGGTATACGTTGTGCTTAGAGCAACACAAGATATCCGACCACTGGAGGAACACAAGCATCATACCGGTTCCGAAGAAAGGAACCTGGGAATATCGGCTAATCCACTATTTTAGAGAATTCCGAGGGATCTGTTTTGAAAGAATGTTAGCCGACACATCTGGATGGACCCCATTAGTTCGTGTGTTGTAATTCTAGGTCCGCCTCGGATGCCATAGCTTGCCCCGTGCATTAGGTGCTTTCATTAAGAGATGTAGCAAAAACTAGTCCACGCGAGTCTACTTCCTGGACTGTAGTAAGGCTTTCGGCTGCGTTAACCGTGAACTGCTGATCGGCTCTGGAGTTCGACATTTGTTGTTTTAATGAAGGATTATGTTACCAAGTGCAACCAGTTCACCAGGTCTTGGGGGGGGGGGGGGGACATCTCATCCCTAATACAGATGGCCGATTCTACACTCAGTCATTGTATGCTCATTTTTATTTTCCACTTATCACAATCCCCGTCCCCGAAAAGGCCATTCTGCTGAAGCATGCGAATGATCTAATCCTGGGTGTGGTGCCCACAACTTTTCCCCAATGCTTGGAATTCGAATTGCTTCAGTTTGCAAATTATGTAGCCCAGCCAACGTCCCCTATGGCCCAGTGGCTTAAGCTGCTGGCTAGTTGGCACCTGCCTCTAGCTGCCATGGGCTCGGTCCTCATTAGAGGACCGAGGGAATGCGCGTCACTGACGAGTCCCAATAGGGCGAAACGCGTCTGGCGCTTTTCCGAACTAGGCTCTGCTACGTAGTTTGTGAACTGTTGGGATGAAAGCCTTATCAGATTTACAACTAAAATCCTGCTACTTATGAGTACTATAAAATACTTAGGAATAACACCGAGCAGCGGTCTCACGTGGTCCGTGCACAAAATCGAAATATTCCCTAGTCAGTAAACACTGGTTATATGCTGTCCGTTGCAGAACTTCCTCAGTACCTCATTGTCTGAATCTCCGCTTTATCACTGCGTGCGTGTTATTCTGACGGATCTACTGCTCCCCAGGAACTTTCCCTGACCTCTTCAATAATGGCTACAAAGTGGTAGTCAAGTTAATGAAAGACCGTCTCGATGTAGTGACATCTCAAGGCTGGAACTCTGTAACATTGTATACAACTACGTTAACGCCTGTAACAAATTTTGCATCCATTACACTCGATGATAATGGTCGCCTCATTCAAACAGATGTGCATAGGCTCTTCACGGATCTATGGTACGTCAGTTATCCCCTAAGTGCCGTTAAAAATTGACCAATCAAAAACTGGTGAATAAATTACTTCGGTGACATTAGCCATAACAGGCTGTTTAAGAAATGCTGTTTTTCAAATTATCCCCTTGCAAAATTCTATTTCTCTAGTTGAGTGGGTTGCTTTACTATACGAGCTGGGCGTTTCAGTTGCAGACGTTTCGTCGTCAAGCTAGGCAACATCATCAGTGCGGCTTTCAAAGTCTGAATCACAGAGACTCGTGAGCCAGATCCGAGTGGCTATTGATCGTGTCCTGCATGGAATATCAGCTGTCAAATGACTCACGTGGGTCGGCCAAATGATCGCTGCCACACCTGTCGGGCTGACGCTCACTGCGGACTTGATCTGTATAGCTTCGTATACGCCCCCTAGCTCCAGGTGTTTGTTGACTGAGTTCCGGTCATCCGTCGTCATGATGAGAAATCGTTAATAACAAAACATATGGATACCGGGGCCAACTAATTCGATCTGAAAAACGTTAAGATACTTGGCAGAGTGAGGAGTCGAAGGACGCGTGAGCTCCTTGAGACCTGGCATTCGAGTCAGAACTGGAGGGGGTAAATATAAAAGATATATTGTACTGACGGCAGTCTATCAAATTTCCGCCTTGTTAGGTGATCTCGGTAGAAAACGGTCTTGTTCACCCCTCCAGGATCGCAATCCCAGTCAGAAGCAAAAGTTGACAGCTAGACAAGAAGGTGTGTTGCAAGATCAGCAAATAAAACGGTACAAATATTTTGAAAATAAACGGACATCTATAGGTTAACCGAGGAAGATACAATCGCCAAAAGCAATATGAAACTAATTAACCACGTGCTTAAATAGGAACGTGAGCAGCGCAACGAACTTGATCTTTTTAAAAGCGACTGGAACGCCCTTCCAAACTTAGTTATCTGTACTTCACTTTGGTCGTCTAAAAAAGCGTGGAAATCGCACTCAGCTCCATACACATGAAATGAACAGACCACATCATCAACAGCAGTAATATCAGCCATTTGGACTGATGCTCCCGTGCGATACAATCATACGACCTACGGAACGAATAATAATAAGAGGGAGAGAAGGGGGACTTACCGGAAAACGTTGATGCTATAGGCAAACAAGGCACAAGGCGTGTACATCATAGACAGATGGCTATCGTGCAAAGACAAGGCGACATCGGCGAGACAGCTTCCTTGCGGGTTTCACTACCATGCGCCATAATCAACCATTTCTCCGCAGAAGCCTTAGCATCACACATGCATTAAATAGGCCATCCGATTAGCAGATGACAGCAGACGCCACACTGGCGCCGAATGCGAGCCATGTCCTGTAACGTCTCAAGTCAAACACAAGGTAAGTCACGTGGACTCCAGCCTGGAAGGCGAGACAGACCGATGGCACCCAGTTTGCTCGTCAGTGCCTTCATTTTCCGCTGCCAAGTCAACTTTCGTCCACCACGAGCCTTGCGGCACACAACTTCTGGCAGACAAAACAAAACCCTTCTCGGTACGCGGTGACCGGGCAAACGTAGTGTGTGCCCAAGCCAACGCAAGTTACTCTGCTAGCTGTTACTCTAAGGAACATGCTTGAGTATCAATGCCTAGCACTCGTTGTGGATACGCTGGTGCCACCCGACACCAGTAATGCGCCGCAAACAACGAGGATCAAAGACTTGAAGGCGCCTCAGAGCTTCAGATCGAAGGGGCCAAGTCTTAACCCCATAGAATAGGACGGTCCTCACTGTGGGAATTAAAACGGAGGGAAACACTCTTCTATCCCCAAAGATGTCGCAGAATCAAGAAGGTGGTTCTGAGTTTTACAATACGAGAACTGACCCCAGCAGCTATACACCCATCGTTTCTGATACAGCTGCCAAGGTAAGTGAATTGATCAACTACCACGAGCTCCAGGTTATTTAGGATCAAGTGATCACCAAGTGGCTTGTGCTCCTGCAGCAAGACTGCACTTTGAAGGTGCGAAGCGCATATCAAATAATAGGACCATTATAGTGAGGCTATTCAGAGATGAGTGCGTCATCGTGTCATCGATAAAAAGCAACACAATATCGCCTGTATAATCAAGATCAACCAGTTATTCAGTGTGCAGCACCTCAAAGCCTGCATTGTGAGGGCCCCGCAAGCGAACAATCCATGATGCAGTCCACGACGAAACTGAACAAAAATGAGGAAATAGGACAACCCTGACAAACACCACTTGTTGTCGGAAAGATCACCGATAAATTACCGTAGAACGTGAAGCGGCCTGTAGCATTCGAGTACAAAGCACATAAAATGTTCACATATTCAATGGGAACACATTTCCGCGCAATCATTTCGAACAGAATGCACCGATCGACTGAATCGAACGCACTCTTGAAGTCGAGGAACGGCTATTGTCAGCTGTGGTATGCGTGGCGCTGCCGTAACATCAGCCGCAGTGAATATGTAGTTTATATAGCTACGTCCTGGGCGGAAGCCTGCCTGCTCCTCCGTTATACGGGAATCTCATTCCGCACTGAGACGACGAACGAGGATGGAGGTCCGTAATTTTCTCACTACGGGCGTTAGGATAATACCACTGTAGTTAACACAGCCGAGGTGACTGCCCTAGTTTTTACACTGCCACCATTATCGATGCACTCGTTAGCTGCGAAAGTTTCCTCCATCCATACACGTTCGAACCATGAGATCAGCGCTTTGCAGAGGATCTCACCACCATTCTTAAATAA